AGAGTTGGGATCAATTAATTTTAAAATTATTATTTTAAAATAAATTCTAAATAAAATATTTATTTAGACCCTTATTAAACAACTATTATTCTAAATAAAAAACAATTATTATTCTTGGCGACTTGAACCGAATTTGGGAACAAAAACGAGTTGGTTACATGCTTTAACCCATCTTAAAAAAAAAATTGGTCAAACTTGGTAAACTTAATCAACTCAGCCGACCTTGTAAACCTTTTGACTTCACTCCCTGAAATGGTGGACAAGGAAAAACTGTGAGATAACTCAGTAAGTAAATATGGATAGCTCTTAATTAAACTCATAGCATGCCAACAAGTGTAATCACGAAAAAATGGTTACAGTGCGGGAACGAAATAGACATCTCCTCTATAGGTCATGGCCAGTGTTATAAACTCCCACTGGCAGGCTACACTATTTGCTGGTATATAATCCCCACTAGCAGGGTCACTCGTACGAACCGGCTCTATCACTAACATGTTGACATGTGTTAGCGTTTAACCCCCACTAGCAGGGTCACTAATAACATGACCACATCAGAGACAAACACAGGCAGAAGTTAACAGAAAAATCATAATTCACTAATCGCTTTCAAATCATCAAGACAATCAATTAAATTTCAAGTAGGCATGCTCAATTTAATGAAAAGCATAAAAATTTCACTTCAAATCAGTCATGCTCATGTAAAACGGGTTTAGTCCCGCCACCATTTCAAAACAAGTCAAAATATACTTTTAAAATCAAAGGGCGTTACCATAATTTACTTACCTCACTCGCATAAAACTGAAGACTCGATTTCAGTGCTAAACTGACAGAACGATCAAGAACCTAATCAAAATATCCAAGAATTAATTACCGTACCACGGATTCAAAAGTAAAATCCCCATGACTACCCCCTAATCACGATGCTATTCCTATCAATCTACATATGACCAAACATCTCCAAATTTGTTCTTATATTACAAACTAATCATTTAATCCCCTTTAATTGTTGGCCATCAGTGCGTGAACAGTACCCATGAACAGTGCCGTGAACAGTAATCACACGATGAACAGTACTACACTTCCATAAATTGGCAAAACCGTAACTAATCTCACGGGATTTCTCTCCAAAATCTCACAACAGTCAATTAAGACTAATTTTCTACATGAATTAAGCTAAATCATGGTCTAATTACTATCAAATTTCTCCCCTATTTCCAGCAAAAATTCGAACACACATGGCAGCCATTAATTGATGAAATTTCGGGCTTGGAGGGGCTGTCAACATACTAGAATTTCCAGCAAAAACTGGAGCTGCAGTTGGGGGAAGGCTGGCGGCAATGCAGGGGAAGCTCACAGGGCTACCAAAAATTGGGAGAACCAAGAGGAATTAAAGTAAACCCAAGCCAAATCAAAGCTAAAGAGATGATTTCATGGTAGTTCCCTTACCAGAAAACCGAAAGATCCCCACCCTCACCAAGCTGAAACGGGCAACAGGGGAGGAAGAACAGAGCAGATCCGGGATTTTCTGCAGAGGGGAAAGATTTCAAGCTCCTAAATCTTGTTCTTGAACAAGAAAAGAAAGGCAAAGGAAGATGCGTCGGTGGCTGGGTTTTTCTTTGGGGCTACAGCGGGTGAGAAGAAGGAGAAGAAGAGCAGAAACGCGCAAGGCTGGGAAGAAAAAAAATCCTCCGATCCTTATCCTAATATCTTTCACTTTTAAGCCCCTTGAAATTTAAAAATTTTGCTATTAAGCCCAAAAACAATATTTTCTCACACAAAGGTCCTTAACTAAGTGTTAAAATATTACAAAATTTTAGGATATTACATTTATAATATTACAAATAAATTTTTAAATGAAAAGAATTAATTAAAATTATAATATCATATAATATGTAATTATAGCATTTTCAATAAAATATTTAAAAATATTAAAAAAAGTCAATTTTAAATTGATAGATAGAACT